AGAAGAAGAAGAAGAAGAAGAAGAAGAAGAAGAAGAAGAAGAAGAAGAAGAAGAAGAAGAAGATGGGCAGAAGAGGAGGAGGAGGAGAGAAGAGGAAGGAGAAGAAGATGAGGGGGAGGCGGAGGAGGAGAGAAGAAGAAGAAGAAGAAGAAGAAGAAGAAGAAGAAGAAGAAGAAGAAGAAGAAGAAGAAAAAGATGGGGGCGGCGGCAGGGCGGTAGGGTATGGTGGCGGGGTATGGCGCCGGGCTGCAGCGGCGGTCCTACACGAAGAAGAAGAAGAAGAAGAAGAAGAAGAAGAAGAAGAAGAAGATGGGCGGAAGAGGAGGAGGAGAGAAGAGGAAGGAGAAGAAGATGAGGGGGAGGCGGAGGAGGAGAGAAGAAGAAGAAGAAGAAGAAGAGCGGAGCAGTTTTTTTTTTTCTTCCTTACCTGTCGTTTATCTCGCGACCTATCGCTGACGAATGGAACAAAAAAAAGAAGAAGAAAAAGAAGATAGTCGGAAGAGGAGGAGGAGGAGAGAAGAAGAAGAGGAAGAAGAAGAAGAGGAAGAAGAAGAAGAAGAAGAAAAAGAAGAAGACGAAGAAGAAGAAGAAGAAGAAGATGAGAGGGGGACGAGCGACGGGCGACTCCACGACGTTGGCTACGGGCGACGGGCGACTCCACGACCCTGCGATGGGCGACTCCACGACGCTGGCGATGAGCAACGGACGACTCCACGACGGCAGGCGAGTGCAGCTCCCAGGTGGTGGCGACAACGGGCAGCGCAAGGAGCGAGGGCGGCTCAACGACGAACGCAGGCTGCTGGAGAAGGGGCCCCGTTTGGACAGCCGATGCAGGCCGCCCCAGCCAGTCGATTGTTCAAACGGGGCCTTGGTTTTCCCTCCAAAAAACAAACGGCCCTCTGGCCGTCGATCATGGATGATCGACGGCTGGAGGGCCGTCAAAAATTCAAAAAAAAAAACAGGCCTCACGGGCCCGACGCGCCGTTTTCTGGGCGTGGTAGGACCCGGTAGGCCCTGGGGAGGCCAAATCTTGGCGATTCGGGGTCGTAAAACCCCCGCCAACAAGGTGTGCTGGGGGTGCCCGGCCCCCAACCGGGCCGCCCGCCCGCCCAGGCCGCCCGGGACCTCCCCCGGGCAGGCGCTGGTCGGCCGGGCGGCCCGGATCCGTACTCAGTATGATATGCCATGGCAGTTTCGGTGAAAAATTCACCGAAAATGGCACCACCTATTGACCATTAGTGGATTGTTGATTACTGGTCGTCTGTTTTGATCGGAATTGCACTGGCCAAGTTTTTTTTTTTCTCAAGAAGATTTCACTCATCGTAAGGGGACCTGGACTCACTCGAGTTCACAAAAAGCGAATTGAAAAGCTAGCTTGTGCAACTGTACTGGGTAGTCTTCTGATAATTGTTTTGTCTGTTTGTCATTGTTCTTTCTGTAAATGAAGCTACCAAAGCAGTGGCAAGATCACCAAAGAAGCCTGGTCTCATATATGCTATTAGTTCTCGAGGTAAGCGTCTTTCTTTCTCTTGCTTTTCTTTATTTTTCTTTGTGTGTGTGTGTGTGTAGAAGACCATTAATTTCCCTGCTGCTTTCATTCAGTATGGAGTGTGCTTTATTCAGTTTGTATTAAAGCACCAGTACTTGGGATCCTTCCTCTGTCCCCTGGGGGCCTCCAAACGCATTTGACTTTAACTGGGCGCAGACAGCCCTGTACATCCACGAAGGCCTGGTGCGTCGGCGTGTTAACGGATGCACCTTGCTTGAGGACTGGTGGTTATTTTTTTTCTGTTTGTTTCAAAAACCGGTTTTTGGCACCTTGTTCTCTTCATATTCTGGTTCATGTGTGCCCTGGTGATGAAGACTATCATCATAACATTGCTATAATTGCTGTGTTTGGCTGTGTATTGATGTAGTAGGTAAACCTGCTGCAGGAATCATCATTGGACCAACTGGTTTAATTGCTCGAATGCCGTCAATGAGCTGGCAATCGTACTTATGGTGGCTTTTGCCACCAAATTATTTTCCCAATTAACAATTGCTACTGACTTGGATTAGCTGTTGCGATGTTGCATCACACGACGGTTCCGGGCCACAGCCAAGCTGCACAGAACCCTTGTTTTCTTTTTTTTTCTTTTCTTTTGGCAAAACATCTGTGGCGGCACATAACCCTTGTGGGTGGACTCAATAGAGGGTTTGCACTCTGAGCGTTATGCTCTTGGACTGTACTTTTTTATTTGTACCCGTTGTGGGCCACACGGTATGTGAGTTGCCCAGGGTGCTTCAATATGAACCACAGATGGTGCTTCTGTTTTCTTGAAGAAGAAAAAACGGGATCTCGTTGCTTTGATTTGCACGCACTTAATTCGTTCTAATCATTTATCCAGGGAGATCCAGTCAACATGCTCGTACGCTTTCTCGAAGTCTTGAAGATGAAGGTCACGTTCTGTTTGGACTGGTGTGGAAGTCTGATCATCTCATTGACCAGGAGAATGTTTTCTTGGATATTTATGTTGCGTATGAAGCCGGTCTGAGCCGGGTGGATGATATCCTCCATTATGATGTTATCTCAATTATTTGGTTGGCTAGTGCCTTGGACAGCATTTTGTATACCATCGTCTGAGGGTAATTGGCCTATAATCACGTATATTTATTTGTCTCATTTTTTCATGGTTGCCCCGGACAACCGGACACGGACACCGGACCCGTGTCTGGATCAAACCGGACATCCAGACATCTGGACCCGGACAGTCCGATTTGCTGTGTTGGTGTCCGGTTGTCCAGATTAAAAAAAAAAAAACGCACACACACACACACACACACACACACACACACACACACACACACAAATGCCAAGAAGAGCGCTCAAATGCACCAAGATTCCATTCAAATAAGATCAAAGCAGTGAACTCGTGTGCCAATATCATCGGCCTCAGCCCCCAAGTTGTATTATTATCAAATTATCTTCAATTAAAAAATATATTCATTCATGATATGTACATATTCATTCATTTAAGGCGTCATCGCCCTCCCATCCCTGCTCGCCCCTCCCATCCCTGCTTGCCCCTCCCATCGTTCATCGCCCTCCCATTTGTCATCGCCCTCCCATCCCTGGTCGCCCCTCCCATCGGCCAGCTCCTCCTCCCACGCCACAAAAATGCAAGGAATATGAGCGAGAGCGACTGACAGAAAATCCAGTTGCAAAATCATGCAGAAGTCCAGATAGTCATGTACCAAGCAGAGAGCTCAAATGCACCAAGATTCCATCCAAATAAGAGAAAAGCAGTGAACTCGTGTGCCAATGTTATCACGCAGAGGGCCCTTTCAGGGCCTGTCCGGTTGGGGTACCGGTTCTCAAAAAACATCAGCATTATTTTTCCGGGCTACCTCAGGCCCAGGTAAACGGCCTGGGAACCCCAAAAAAAAATTCGATTTTTTTGAAATTGGGGTCCAACCGGACACCGGACTGTCTGGATCAGGATCCGGACGTCCGGTTGGTAACCATGCCTTTTTCGCTAGGCCGTTTTTCCGGGCGACTGGGCACCCAACTTATGCCCGGGTACATGCCCGGGTGGCCGACCGGGCATGACCTCCGGGCAGGGTTTCGGGCAGCCCCAGCACGAAAAATAAAAATAAAAAAATCCAGAAAAAAAAATGTTGTGTAGAATTGCAATACAAACGACTTTGTGCCGAGGGTCACAGTAGAATTCCACACAAAATTGGAGATAAAAAAAGAAAATAACAGAACCACAATAAGGCACCCCCCTTAAAACCCTTTTAGCCCCTTAAAAAAGGAAAAAACAATTTAGAAATCAGCCCGAATTTGGGGTCCTCTGGGAACGCGCAGAAAAACAACAAAAAAAAAAAAAAAAAAAATTGCACGGCGGGGTACCCCAGGCGTCACACCCGGCTCGGCCGGGCGTGAGAATCTTCCTAGCTTTTTTGTAGGTAAGAGATAACACCCCCTGCCAATCATCTCCCCCATCTGCCCTGTGTCCCATACCGCCGTATGAAAACGCATCAGGTCAGGGTGTATGGTAGGCCACATCACCTCCCAGGATTCTTTGGGGAAGCCATCAAGGCCTGGGGTTTTCTCCTCATCCGTCTGGAGAAGAGCCGTTCAGATTTCGTCTTTGGTCCGTAGCATTTCCATCATCTCTTTTTGTTTGGGGGTGACTCGAGTACAGATCAACGGCTCCCTGACACAGAAACTCAGCACTCGGTGAGGGAAGGGAGACCCTATTGCCCCCTTCCTCCTCCTTATAGTAATGGAAGCCTTAGCAGCCAACTTGAGGAGCAACACAGATCTTAAAAGGATTAAAATATCGCAGATCCTGGAGGACGCCATCCCAGTGTGTTCCCTTTTTGCAGACAACCTTACAATAATGGCAGAGGGTAGCACCCAAAATATGGAGGAAATACAGAGACCAATGGACTGGTTCTGCAAGCTGTTGGATATGGTGGTCAATCGGGGTGCATAAATCATTGGGGTGCTGGATGCATCATCAAGGGGTTCCTCCCCCAGACAACCCAAGCATCACTTGGGTGCCATTGGCGCCCCGGTCCAAGGTTGGGTGTGTCAATGACAGCACAGAGCCAGTCACAAATGACGATTGGATCAAGACCCCCGCCCTGGCCAAACTTGTTAACTGAGATAAGCACACCTATCTCTTTGGGTGCGCCTTAGTTGTTCTGGCCACGATGGTACAAATCGGTACTATGGCCGCCAAGTGATTCAAGCCTTACATCACTAAAGAAGCAAGCGGCCGCCTTCCTATGGAGAGGGGATAGTGAAAACAACCATGGCATCGGCCGTGACTCTGTCATTCAGCCGAGGTCCAGGGAGGACGTGGCATAATCGACCCCCTAGCACAAACCAAGGCCTTGAGCCTGCAGTGGATAAAGAACCTCATCATTGACAACCAGCAAAGTGGCAGCCCCTTGCCCTAGCACAGATCTCCAGACTCACCCTGCAAAGCCCCCCTACCATTGACTGACTGACCTGGCTGGAGGACCGGTACTGGAGAATCCCTAGCAAAGCACGATGGGAGAGCTGAAACTAAACTAGAGCTTCGGAGGGACCTAGCTTCAACAAAAAAAAAAGAAAAAAAGAGCTGAAACTAACCAAGGAAGGAGTAAAGGTGGATGGTGGGGAAACAGCGAACCAGATTAAACAACAAATCCATCTGGAATTGAGACAGGTGGCAAGCAACTAAGCAAAACCTGGACCTGCTCCACAATGAGAAGGATATAGCCAAAAAGGTAAGTCAATTCTGCAGAGACTGGCGGGGGGGAGACCGAGGGGGGATGGATTGCAGACATGGTTTGGACAGGAGATCCAGAGGGAAGGAAGCAGGAAGAAGACACAGAGGTGACTCGCGATTACCGGCTTAGGTTCAAAGACTGGACAACAGTAGACCGGCTATCCCCCTCCGACCAACGGCTGACTTCCCAGACTTTTTTCCTCCTCGCCCATTATCCCCGGTGGAAATGTCACAACGAGTATGGAGGCAGGCCTGGAGTGCAGAAGGCATCATACTCTATTCAGGAGGGCAGGTGGAATGAGGCTCGGCAGAGGAGAGGAGGCGGCTGGTACCCTGGTGTTCCCCGGGGTACACAGTGGCCTCTTCTCCTTCTTGGCAGGCCAATACAGTCTTAATCGTAACAGATACCAATAGCCGTAGTAGTAAGACTGACCTAGCCAAGGATAGGGTGGCTAGGGCGGATGGACAAGTACATGGCGACCATTTGGGCTGAAGAGGCCACCCTAATAGCCGAAGCCAGGTAATGGCCCCGGTAACTGGTCATTATCTGTGTACTCAGGGACGCTGGACACTCAGGGACGCTGGACCCGGTTTCCAGCAGGTGAGGCTCCCCACCAATAGATCGGAGCAACCTGAGGCAGCTACTAGAGGGGGGGGTGCTCATACCACTCCCCTAGTAGTGAGTTGCAGGCTTTGCTTTGCTGAAAACCACGTTCAGCGCCCCTTACATATGAACCCACTCAACCCACACACAGACAGACATGTGCAAAAACACACTATGTATGCACTCAAGTGACATCCATGATGGGCTCTTTGGCCCACACTTTGTTTCCCCAGATGTCAGTGAACATGCGCATGGGTGGTTGTTTACTATGGTGGTACACCAGGGAATGAGAGAGCTTTCCTGGAGGATTATAGATTACTATGGCTGGGTATGTTGCTGGAGAATTATAGATTACCTGAGCGATGTGCCAGGTACCTTGCACGTGAGTCTGGCGTCCCCCTCCTGCTACGTGTAATGAAATATACATATCTAAGCTTGTCTGTGTCGGTATCATCTTATGGAGTCTGTAGGGATGTTAGTAGGGGTGTTTGTGGGGGGGGTATTTTGGGGGTGTTCTGGCGGGGTGTTTGCGACTTTTGCCCGAGGTGTTCTGCAGGGTGTTTTTGACTTTTGCCCAAGGGCAGATATTTGCCCCAAAGATTGTCAGGCCGTGGCCACTCCTACCCAAATAATATCGTTTTGGGGCAACGTTTGCGCAGTCACGAAAACAGTTTGAAAATGCATTCCAGGTATCCCTTGAACATAACACACTGCAAGGCTCAAGGCCTCGATGAGCCCTACTGGGCTATGTTTTCAGCAATATCGGCCGCCCTAAGTGAAGGCAGCCTGCCATTTTCCAAATGTATCTGAGGCAGGCCCTGGGCTAGACACAGGGCATGGACTACGCACAGGCCGCTGGCAGTTGGACACGGGTAACCACGCCAGGCCCTGTGCGTGATCCCCTTGGACCGGGGCTCAGCCACTTGGGCCCTACCGGAAGCTTCTGGGAAGGGGCCCAGCGCAGCCAGGCAGCACGCAGCAGGCAGGCGACTTCCATATAGGAAAGTGCCTGCCTCCGCATTCGGCATTCGGGCACTTGCTACATGCTGCGCAAGCGCTGCTGCGCTATCAGCTGGCAAGCGCCCATGCGCTCACGGGCGAGCAGGGTGCAAACGGGCAGCCATAGCCGAGCTGGCCTGCGAGGATGGGGCGCATGGTGGTCCTTGGGAGCACGTGGCATCTGTGTGGGGGATCGAGGTTGTGAGTGAAGCGGGAGACATACCTGGTGCTTGAGGCGAACGGCATTGACCGAGATCTGCCCGTACTTCGGGGAGCTGTTGACTTCACCAGCGGCGTTGTAGATAGGCTAGATAGGATCTGCCATTCGTAGTCTGGCCGCTGAGCGCCAGATAGGGAATCGACATTGGTTCATTTTTTATCATGATGAGACTACTCCAACATTGTCACTTGTGAGCTTTTGCTGTGCTCTTATTTGGTGGAACTCGAGTTGCAACTCTGCTTTTGGTTCGAGGTCACGACTATCTGGTTTCATGTGTATGATGCTGCTTGGTTCCTGGAATTCGTTATCGCTCATTTTCCTTGCAACACCCCCACCGGACCCTAAAGCTAGCTTGTATACATTCAACATTTTCAGTGTTTGCCTAGACTGCATTTTGGAACACAATTCGTGACTGCGCCCTAGTTTTCCCTTTCGTTTTGTTACATCTTTTGATCAACTTTGATGTAATGATAACCTCACCTCAATTTGAACATTCCTGGTTGTCTTGGGGTCCATTACTGGTTGTCTTTGGGACCATCCCTGCTCGTCTTTGGGACCATTCCTGGAACTTTTTGGGACCAGCAATGAATGTCTTGGTGGGATTCTTCTGTTCTCTTGTTGTCATTGTTTTCCCAACCTTTGTCTACCTTTGTCATACTTATCATTGTTTTTGTACTGTGCACATTTGTCACAGGCTGGTGTTCGCGGGTTTGTCTATGATGCATGTACGGGTGAACCACTTCCGGCAGAGGTCACGGTTTCATCTATTGATTGGAAGGTACGTGGCATGGACGACTCTATGGAACTTCGGGCTCTTGCAGCGCTCTGAAATGGAAAGCTGGGAAGAATGGAGGGGTATCTGAATGTTGCAAATGTGTGTGTGTGTGTGTGTGTGTGTGTGTGTGTGTGTGTGTGTGAGAGAGAGAGAGAGAGAGGGGAGTGTGTATGAGAGACAGAAAGAACTGTGTGTGTGTGTGTGTGTGTGTGAGAGAGAGAGAGAGAGAGAGAGAGAGAGAGAGAGAGAGAGAGAGAGAGACTAAAAGCAAGTTATAGGACTATAAGTAAGCTATAGGAATTTATAGGAAGTTATGATTCACAGGCCTTTAGGACTATAAGCAAGTTATAGGAATTTATAGGAAGTTATGATCTATAGGACTATAAGCATGTTATAGGAATTTTTAGGACTTTATGACTTGCACAGCCCCTGCCACCCTGAACCCCCAAGCGCCGCAAACCCCCATCCCCTGAGTGGATATGGGCGGGAAGGGGGGTGCTTTATTTTTCAATCCCAACCGCCCTCCCGAGGACGGCCGTGATTGAGCTCGCGCTACTGGGGTTTGAGCGCAGGCGCGCAAATGCGCTCACGTGCTCGCCGCGCTCAGACGGTTACACAGCCCAAGGGGCCAATCAGTGTTTGGGTTGCATAAGATTTTCAGTTGAGGAGCAGCTGTTGCCTATGGTAAGTGGTTACCCCTGCAAACTGGACAGGACCAGTTCGGGTGTGGACTGTGGAAGCAGTGCATCCAATTTTCGCAGTTGCAGTTGTTGCATCAGATGGCACAGCGTAGACAGATATCACAGGCTAAGTAGCTCGTACATGCTAGGAACATAGAGGCACGCGGACCGCAATTGTAGAGGCATTGCTGTTGCAGACCCTGTCTACGGATTGAACATGACATGTCAGGGTGCCGTACATGAATGGAGTATTGTCTGTCATCCTACGTATGAAGACAAAAAAATTGCATGGGCCATCCCTTCGTAATCCGCTCGGCACAAGGCACTGGAACGATATGCTCGCCAAATCTCAGGTGGGTCATCACAGAGTGGAATTGAACAGGTTTCTTGGGTTTCCCTAGTATCTATCCCCTCTCTATGGGCAGACGACAACGGGGATTGATCCAAAGTAAGGGTGTTTATCTGCTGTAGGATTTGGTCCGCAACAGCTCGGGCCAGTGGTGATAAGTTGATAACCTTTCAGTACAGCGCTTTGTAGGTGGTTCGTATCTATTTTCCTTCTGAGACTGCTGCATCTGTCGTTCGTCTGGCAAGGAAGACGGAAATCCATCTGCGGTTGCAGTAGGTGGTTGCCAAACACTGCATGTGGGACATGCTAGGAGAGGATGTGGCAGATGATGGCATCGGGGGAAGTCCACGCAGTAGAGACACACTTTCTATGAAAGCTTCCTGGAAACATTCGCTACACATGGCATGTTGCTGACATGTCTGCAGGAAAGCTGGCTGACACTCACAGCTATTTAAGCATTGCAAATCAAGGCCACAACAGCATGCTGGGCAAGTAATTAAGGGGGGGGGGGGGAGAGAGGGGGATGAGAACAAGACAAAGGGTCAGAGTTTTTGCGGCAGAGACTGGCATTGATCATCCCTTCATAGTGTTTGGAGCAGAGGCTATGTTGTGTTCATGCTAACTGAAATCTAGCTGTGTGACGACACAATGGGAGGGCACAACCACTATCCTCTGGAGAGGTCCCTTCACTGTCCCTGGTAGAATCCGTTCGATCTACGTAGGGAACACTGCCTGACCATGTACAGGGAAATGAGGAGTTTCAGCCAGATTGCTCTCGGGGGGCTGTAGTGCTTGCGAAATCATAGCAACATACTGTTCCTGATAGACGAGCCAGACCGAGGGAGAATCTACCGTTTGGTGATAGAAATAATACTTCCTGCGGTGTGCGCTCTACTACCATTGTCCCATAGGGTCCATGGATTATCTGCAATGTTTACAGCATTGGAATGACCTGGACGATGCATGACGTACGCACACATATTTGGATCCATGACTGGCATGTGATTCTGTGAAGCAGGGTGGAGTTGTAGTCGTCTTCCCATAAATGCCATAGACAGGACCTCTATGTTCGCGCCAAATCCAGTACTATTGTCCTCTGGGCAGACAGCACAGTGCTGTTGTTCTATCCAGTGGATGCTATCCGCAAAATCAAAACTGTATAAGGGTTGCAATTATAAGCGAGGAGACGTAGATTAATGACGTAGTATGCACAGTGGCCTCGCTGTAGCAATATGAAATCATTTGGTTCCACGGGTTCTGCAGCAGGGGGAGGTTCATTCAATTCTGCAGATTGCACAGCAGGCAGAGATTCATTGTGGTCTTGACGGTTCTGTCAGGTTCCTCCGGCTTTATTAACTCCATTGGCTCTAGCATACGCTCTGGAGAGAGATCATCTTCAGTCGGGGGCTCCATGAAGTGATCAGAAGGCGTATCATTGTCAATTAGGGTGGGGGAGCAAGCAGGGCTAGGTGTATGAGAAATGAGTGGGTCAGATGCAGGAAAGGGAAGCTGATCAGCCGCAGTTGTCCTCAGAGTGGCTGCTAGTCGTGCAAATGCTGCACAGGTGGTCGCACCCCGTGTCTGGTGCACACGCAAGCCCGCAGCACTGAAGAAGTGATCGCCACATTGTTGGCATCGGACTTGATATGTACTATTCCTGACTAGTGTATATTGAGAGCAACGAAGTCGTTCCGCACGGTTGTGAGCATGGCGTCAGAGTAGATCCCTTACCTCTGCAGGGGGCGTGGTGATCATGCTGTCGAAGGACAAGCGAGGCCGCTGTCTTGGAGGCAATGGTGGAGACGGAGATATCTGCGACGGCTGATCTGATGATGGATGCTCCACCGATAGGGGCTCTGTGACGCCTGATCTGACCATGAATATGTTGATGATGAGGTTGATGAGGAAGGGGAGGCATGCAAGCTGGAGGAGGGAGAAGAAGAGGAGGCAAATGACTGAGGGAATGATGTAGTAGAAGATGTCGACGAGGGG